TAAAGATTTAGGACAAACGATTTGCATTTCTAGCTTCTCTTGAAATATTGCAAGTTCCAACTGGCACAAGACAACGTTTGGCTGGAGCTGAATGAGGACTGTCTGCTTTAGATGGGCCTGGCTCTTCTGGAGGAATATGATTTCTTTGTACTCATGTCTCTATCAAAAAGAGAAAAACAAAGGATAGACCAAGAAGCCTGCATGTTTGAAAAAAATGGGAGCGAACCAAGGCTGACATTTAGCTGGCATATGCGAGTAAGAAATACTTCCATATTGGTTTGTAAAGTAGCCATCGCTGAGCCAGTGTCCTGGCCCCACCTCTGAGTGCTGCCTCACTGTCCTAGGCACTTCAGTATTTCCCCCCCTGGAGAAAATGTTTCTTTTGGGAGTGATGAATTTTCCTACATGTTTAAATATGCAAACATATGGGTTTGTGAGGAAAAAAAAATGCAACACGAGACACCACTATGATGAAAGCTATAATTTTCTTAACATTTTCATGATACCTGCTTGGCCTACATAGGAATGTGAATTTATGGTTCCTGCAATTTCTCAGTGACTTGAATATGAACTGAATGGAATATGTATGCTAGGAGTTCAGTGGAGGGGAGATCATGCCTAGCTTTGGAGCGCAGAGAAGAAATTATTTTAAAATCCCTATTTAATTGTGTGCTCTTTTTATGCTCTGAGCATTTCACAAATATCTCCTTTTAATCCCCACAAGGCCTTGGGGGTTATTACCATTTTGCAAATGAGAAAACCTAGGTGCAACAAAGTTAAGAACTTCCCCTATGTCATGGTGGGTGGAGCTGGGGACCTGGGATTGGAACTCAAGTCTCTTAGCCATTACGCTTTAACCATGCACATTTCTGGGGGGGGGGGGGAGGGGGGAAAGCAAGTCCTTGAAAGATAACTTGAATTTAGAAAAGGGAAAAACGGGCTGTGGGCAGAGCTCTCTAAGCAAGAGAATGGTATGGGCCATGGAATACATAAAATTGCCAAATGTATTAGGGATTGTTTTGTGATTCTACTTGTATCATATGGTCAATAGGGTACTTAAGATATTGATTTTTATTCCAGCTCTGTTTGTGGCTTTTGGTGTGAATCAAGGTATATCGTTTAAGGTCTCCACACTT